TCAATTTGGGTGCAAATTCCTTGAGATTGTGCAAGGGGGTAAATCCGGCAACAACTTGCAAAAAGTGAAGATAAATTTCTCCGTAGCAAGCCAGGAGAAGCAAAATCCTACCTTACTCTTTAGTTTCATGTATCTAATGTTCCTCATGTACATGTACCGGTACATTGCTAGAATAATAACCTCATGGCCAGACTATTTAGTCATTCCCTCGTATTCTGATCTGCACAAAGTTATGAATGATAAATGTATCTCTCCACAGAACAAGGACTGTAAAGAGAACAAACTAACACCATTCACAGATATCCTTGTACATCATGATGCCCACTGCCTCCTCCCTAACCCCCCCAAAAATAGTTTGTGTATAGGTATTCATGCATAACATCCTTGAAATTTAAGACAACATTCACAGCAAGATGGGTATTGCTAGAAAAGCAAGGAAACCTGCTCTAGTTGAAAAAAAATCCCATGGGCAAGGTAAAGCACGTACTGTGTAATGCACACTGAACTGTCCACTGCAGCGTATCCAAAAGATTCTGACATGTTCAGGTTTTGATTAGTTTCGAAATGGGAGAGTATGAACACTTACAGTTATGAAATCTAAAATGTTTGTCGTTCATCTGGAAACATTTCAGTTGGTTTGAAACTGAACACAATCATTACATACATAAACAAAAGCGCTAATGCCATTTATGTATCCCAAATATTTGTTTACAAAGACCTCAAATAGTAAAAATTTGTCAGCTGCTTTCCAGCTGGATTTTATGTAGCAACTTGCATGAATCTTATTTACAGAGCATTAGAGGAATATCTCGTTTCAGCAAGTCTCATTCATTCATTTTCCAGTGACTGTGACAGGTCTCTGTTGCTACCTTAAAATGTTGAATAATGTTCCCTGCATTCGATGTTGTGTTTTGATCTTTGCTCATATCCTCAGTGTGATTAAGGTGTTGGCTATGCACTGAAATATTTAAAAGTGTGAAAGATCTACTAAACATTTACTGAATGAAACCTGTTATTTTCATTAACCGTAACAGTCCCAAATCCTCCAATTTCAATACGATTTTACATACACCCTTGCGAGTTAGGGTTAATGACCAAATAAAGCAGAAATTTCACACAAGACTCATCAATTTGCACTTGAATATGTAACAAAAATCTGTTACTGAAGCTCAAAGAAGAACAGTATTAATTAATGACAAAATTATGTTTTGTACTCTGGTGATGTGGAGGGGAAACGTCTGTGGGCCTATTTCCACTTCCTGCATGGGTGTATGGTACTTCAGACTGGGTGTCTCTGATTCCAGACAACATGTACCCCTTTGTGTACAGGTGCAAGCTTTCATTTCTAGAGATTCAAGGAAGGGGATTACACGGTCGACCTTGTGTGGCCTTTGACATGATAAATGGGACATATTTGTCTCCTCAAATTCTAGTGTGCACCCACATTTTACCGTCTGTGCATTGTGGGATTTCCGATTTGTACCTGGTAACTGTGATCTGACATGGAAATTATGGCAAAACTTTTCAGGAGCATCTCTGACAACTGAAACAATGACAACAGATAACAAGATTATGATGTACACAAATCCAGCAGTCCCGTATATGTGCATCCACCATTTCAAACTAACTGTGTAGTGTAATTCGACCACCAGAATTAGGAGCCTTTACTGTGGTGGCACAACGCTCGTGAACAGGTAGTTCGCGCGCGTTACATGCCTTTTTGACCAACAGGGTGTCGTGATTTGCTAAATGCATGTGTGTGTCAAGCTAAAGAATGTGTGTGTGAGTGCAGTGCCACCACAGTTATGGCGTCTAATCGGATTAGTCTATATGTACCAGTACCATACAAAAATAGTTTCCACCAACAACTATGTGTACATCACGGTGCAGTGTGCATGTACACGTACATGAAGTTGTACAATGTCACATGTACACGAGGAACTTTAAAGTTTTCAACCTGAACCTAAATATGAGGAGAAATTCAAAATTTAGTTAAACTGCCTTTTCAAGACTGGAAAACCCCACAGAATCTGTGTCACGGTGTTCTAAGCATTTGGGCTTTATTAGTTTAATGCCCTTAATTATTACCATATCTGCATGTATATGTAAATACCAGAGATGATCAAGAAAACGATCTTAAGTCCTGGTATACATATACATGTACATTGTTACACGGTGAACATTAGCATCACACTACAAGGTACAAGAGTCTGCTTTAATTGGGAGTAAACAAGGAGAGCATCAAAACGCTCTCCCAGTACATGTACATGTATGTACCAATACATGTATGTACCAGTACATGCACGCCCTGTCTTGGCACCCCACCCCTTCTCCCTGAAGCTACAGACCACTTAGACTTTCCCTGCCTGGTCCATATATTCTTAGAGGATTTCTGTTCCATAAGGATTAACCAGTGTGAGGAGTACAAGGAGATACCCAAGAATCAATATTTGCATGTTGTTTCTTCTCTTCAATGGTCTGTGCATTGTAGTGACACTGTCTCTTCCTTCAGGTTCCATTTGCAAGCTAAGACTTTGTGTATGAGCTTTGTGTCAGCTTGTTCAAATATGAGGTTTAATGCAATAACATTCGGGCAGTATCAAGTGGTGCCTAACTACTATGCATTTGTGACAAAAAGAGAACTGAAAATCATTAAGCCTACTGAATTCTCCTTTGACTTTCAGTGTTCTGAATTCCATGTAATCATTAGTATACCATCAATGATAACAATAGAGTTCCAAGCAAGTATTTAAAAAAGCATGGCAATGAAAGGGCAGACAATTTTATCCACACCCCTAAACTGTTACCAACAGTAACTGCAACCGCACGACTATAAATTTGTGAAAATGCACACAAAAGCAAGAAACTCATGTCTCTTCTTGAACCACTGCTGAATTTGAACTAGGCACCCATTTTTTGTTATCATTTCCACATACATGTACATGGAGATTACTTTCACCTACAAATGGTAAGTTATGGTCTGCATAGCAATTTTAGAAATGATACAAGTACCTTCCTGGCTGGGCCTGGATGAAAAAAAAATTTCAAATTGGAAACGGCACAAATATGATCAAAGACTTTCATACTATACACTACACCCACAGGGCAGCTACATGTACATGTATTTGCACTGGGTTCCATCTGCAACAGTTCACACTTGAGAAGTTTGGTAACTGAAAACTGTCAACATGGAGGCCACCAAATAGGAATTTAAAATAAACTTTTGTATACCTGTTAGTATATTTCTGGTTTTTTGGGGTTTTTTTGATAGCCAATTTAAAGTCATTATTATTTAAATGCGTGTACCTCAGTGGAATGTAAACGAAACCAAATTTGATCAATCTGAACCACTGGGGTAATTCAAATCGCCAAATTTCTTCCCCAAATGCATTTACAAGTACTTGCAATAGACACAAAAGGTGTTTTCTATCAGGATTACATGCAGTGCAGATTCACAGCATGCAAAGTATTCTATCTGCAAGCAAACACTGGATATACGTGTACATGCAAGCTCCATCTCAAAAAGCACCTTGAAAACTGCCAGTTTCATTGTAAGATTTTCAACCGGGATTACCAGCTGGGATTTAAGAATCTGAATCAGAGATGTCTGGAATGATTGGGGCAATAGGGGAGATTTACTGTTTGTAGTAATTGGGCTTGCATTCTCAATAAATTGGATTTTATTGTGGTATTTCAGGACAATTGGGCAATGCTTATGCTGTCTAAATTCACATACAGCTTAATTCCGTTTTGAATGAGGCCATTTATTTGTGTGAACCCTATGCGAGCTAAGTCACAGAGAGTTGGGAATTGTTCCGACATCACTTTGATGGCCTCATGAATACTACTAAAAACAGACTGAATGGAGCACTTGTGTCATTTAAAGTGAGCTGAAACCAGCTTCTTTTACTGGGAAGGGACACCAAGATGAAACAACCTGTACTTTCATTAACAAAGCATCTAAATCATGGTAAAATTTATCATGGCCATTTTAATTGAATTTGATAGTCGAATGGGCAGAAGAAAACATATAACCGCTATGTTCTACAAAGCTGGCTACTACTGATCATTATCTGATCACTGTACATTTCCATTCAAAGAATTAAAAGAAAGAACCTGAAAAATCCTTCACTACTGAAAAGGGCACGTAAAGTTCAAAGGCAGTAGATCTTCCATTTTCAGCTATTTGTCATAAGGAACTTTCCACACCTGTACTGAAGTGTGCATTTCCTAGCAAGTGCAATGCTTTTTGTATTTTTGCCTTGAATGAGCCGTAGCCCTCAAAACATTCCTGGACTTCTCTTTGAAGATAGGGTTTACATTAGTAGTACTATGATAATTGGCATCCAGTGCACGTACCATGCAGCCAAGGTTTTTGTTCTCCTGGCAAAGTTCAGTGTTGGCATGCTGAAAAGACCCAACCATGTGCGAGACTGCTTGACCCTTTTTGAATAGAGTGAGGGGCTTCATTTCACCCTCCAATTGGTAATCCAAACTATGGAGAGGTGTACCAAGTCGTCTATGTTTACACTGGGGTCCTAAGCCATATTCCGACACAGTTTGTGCTTGGCCAGCTCTATATGAAATTGGTGGCTGTGCAGGCAGTCACATGTCACTTTGTGTGGGCTGCCCAAGTGCACCTTTCTATAAACATTCAGACTTCTCTGATTTATTCAAAAAGTTTACACTGCCATCCTTTACACCTACGCCAGTGAAAGGATTATCGGTGTTATGATTTACTTTTCCACTGCACTTCTTATAGGGGCCATTTTGCCAATTACTGGTATCACTTTTGTTCCAACCTGACTTTTGAATTACAGCAAGTAAATACTGCTGAAATAATTTTCTTCTAATGCAACCAAATTTTAAATTCAAGAGGCCACAATAATGTGGTTGATCAATTCCTTGCACCTGGAACATTCTGACACTAGTTGCAGTAATTTACCAACAGAATCCTTCTGCTTTTGTTTACATTTCTCAAATTTTATCTAAGCACTCACCTGACACTTGTATCCACATCTCCATTCTCTGCGGAATGTCAATATCCTTCAGACTGGGATTGAGTCTGATGCCCCCTGTAGTACCATTCAGGATTAGGTGGTTATTTGCATTCCCCCTCACGATCAGGTACTGGAGGGTGTCTGACACATCCGGGTCATGAGCAGGAACCTGTCCAATGTCACCTTCTGGGAAGAATCCCTCATAGTTGTTGAAGAAGATCTCAAAGTCTTCTAGGATGGGACTGTTGTCGTTCTGGTCCTCAACATGGATGTTGACTGTAGCCAACCTGAAGAAGGGTGTCGAAGTGGCCTTGACGGTTACTTGGTACTCATTCCTGGCTTCATAGTCCAGCTCAATCAGGGTTGTCAGTTCCCCTGATCGGCTGTCAATCTCAAAGAAGTCCAGGTCACCTTCAATCAGGGAGTAATGGATGATTGCGTTGTAGCCCTCATCCGGGTCATTCGCAATGATGGTGGAGACCAGTTCACCAGGGTTACGGTTCTCTGCGATGTACACATCCATCTCCTCCTGAAGAAACTCAGGTGGGTTGTCATTCTCATCACGCAGCCTGACAGTGATCTGCACAGATTCGCGGTGAGTGGGACGACCCCCATCCACAGCAAAGGCAACTAAGTTGTACTCTGCTTTGGCCTCGCGATCGAGACGGACTGCTGTACGGATGATGCCTGAGGTTTCATCAATGACAAAAGCTCCATTGCCATCATTACCATTATTGAACGTGTAGGAAATCTGACTATTAGTACCTGCATATGTAGAAACAAGAACGAATTTATGATTTTTTGAAATTTTTTTATACATTTACTTTTGAAATAAAAACGTGTATCAAATTGAGGATATTAAAGGCAAGTGAAAATGAATAGGACATGTTCATGTCTGTTGTTTAGTTCCAAGTAAAATTATGCTTGCAAATGTAAAGGAACAAAATGAGAGGAGCAATGATACAAGAGGAACTAAAGTTTCCAAAATTTCAGACTTGATTATACCACTTCTGAAATTTTGCTTCAACACTGTTAGCGTTTGAACACTGAGTGGTCACCTGACATGGAATCATTCCATTCTTTTCAATCTACATAACCCTGATGACTTTCCCCCAAAACACACGCCAACAGCAAGAAAACGTGTTGATATTCAGCCCTAACACTGTCAGCAAGATTTTAAAAGTGACTTTTTTTATTGGGGTTCAGGGTTAACCTATATGTACATGTAAGCTACAATGATATCTTGATTTAACAAACACCTTGCTTTTTTTGTTTTTTCCTAGCCTTCCACAACCAGCAGTAGTAATCTAATTTGACAATTCTATGAGGGAACAATCGAACCAGTACAAACACACAATTAATATATTGAAAGCTGGTTGGGTTCCACTCTCCTTAGCCGGCCTTCCAGGAGGAAAATCCTCATCCATCAATCAAACTCAAAGAGAGAAAAGGCATGTCCAATTATTTACTGCAGACTCCCTCCCCACCAGATTAATTTGCATATGCATATATATGGATGTGTAGTCATGGGGTGGTGGTGGAGGGGGCAAGCTAATCTACACATTCCGCAAAGGTTGTCGCAAAATGAACAATCTTAACAGAAATTCAACACCTGCTTGAAAATGCAACACTTTAATCATTCTGCAGATTGCACTGTTGGAAGGTTTTCCTCAAAGGAAACAGGGCTATGCCTGTGGGCTGGATTTAGAATGGAAAGAATCAAAATGAGTCTTAGGTACTGCACTGTGGGGGAAATAGATGGTTGGGAGCTGAAGTGCTTTGGAGAATGCCCATGGGCAGGGTTTAAATGGGCCATACAGTAAAGGGTCATTTTACATTGTGTGTCCCCATTACTAGGTCAAACCTCAAGGGGATTTATCTGCTGTTGTTATCAACAAAGGATTGGCAGCTACACACGTACATGTGTGATGGATTGGACCAAGCACAAATATAATATGAAGCCAGTTTAGCAGCACATGCACCTGTATACGAAGTTATGCTACCCATACATTGTCACTTTGAAAATAGGTGTATAATTGGTGAATGATTTATTATATTAAAAGTCATTTCTAACATTGTTTATTTTCACTAAAACACACAAAAACATGTATGATTTAGATTTACTGGCACATGTACACTTACATTTGTGTATGTGTTATGATGAAATTATCTACAATCCAACACAATGTGTCTCCCACACCTTTCACAAATGTGACCCCTGCATGGTATGCCAATACTCCATCTTGAACCTTTATCTGAATCTAACTGATGTACACAAGCCTGCTTGTGAAGTGTGAGCCATTGTATGGCATGCTTTTTATTTGCATACCCTCCATACTTTGTATGCAATGAAGAATATCAGGAACTGGTGAGTGGGATGTGATAAACCTTTGTGCTTTGCTGGGGTATGTATTGTTCCCATCTGGACTGGAAATGCGTGACAACATGAAAGTATTTAAACAACATGGACATGAGTGGTTGAAACCGGTGCAAAGTCCACTGGTAAAAATTGTGCAATGCACGCTGTACATGTACAGTAACTTCATACACACAGTACATGTTCTCCAAAGGAACATAACAGAGGATGTGGCATGCCAACACCACATGTGCAGTATACATGTAATTCAAATGTTCGATTTAAAAAGTCAGCATTTTCTGGGGCTGTGATAGTCAAATATTTCAATATTATTTCCTAAATTTGAATATTCGAATACAAAATTCGTGAAAAGAAAGGGAGAATTTTCTTTTGTTTTAAATGAGAAAATTGCACTATGGAGGCTATTTTCAAGCAGATTCAAATGAAAAATGACAGAAATCTTACAACAATTCAAAAAGTAAATTATTCATTACAAAATTGAAAAGGAACAGAAATTTTGAACAGGGCAAGAGGCACTGTTTGTCTCTTTGATCTTGCTAAATTGTTGCTGGAGATACTCCTAGACGTGAGAAGCTATAATGGTGGTTATAATGTATGATTGTGTATATTATTGCAACTGATTCTGTATACGGTTTGTTCATCAACAATCTGCTGGTCAGTACGGCCGAATATTCAGATATTCGATCAAATTGATGGTCGAATATTCGAAAAGTGAATTATTCAAATTGACGCAGCTCTAGAATTCTCAAAATTGCCAGTTATCATCTTGCACCTTTCTAACAGCACAGGTTCTACTAACAAGTTACTCTTTGACTTTGGTTGTACAGTGATTTTAATTTCCCTTACTTGTAAAACTGCAGCACTTGAAAATTTTACGTTTGCAGTACTTTCTTCAATCAGAAACTTCTGAAGTCTGAATATGGAAACAACAATCACTACACGATTTCATACCAAGTGCAATGCATAAAGAAATGTCTTCATTTTCAGCATACATGTATGTGATCTACAAGCCTCTCTACTGATGACAGGTCTGTACTGATCACTTTCTTCAAGGTCTACATGTATTTGACCAGTGTACTTCTTTTGTGCTTTCTATTTGAAATAAGTCATGAATAACAACAGATGGGTACAAAGCAAAGGACACTTCAATTTGCAAAGTGTACGGATACACAATGACCTATACACCACTATACATGTATACTCAGTGTAATACATACCTAAATTTTCATGCTTTACAATGGAATAAATTTTACTTGTACAGAGGTTTCAAGAAATGTTACTTGTTTGAATTTGTGATTTTCTCCATGTACCATAAATTTAATGGTGAACTTTACAAATGAATTAAATCTGATCATTTTTCAAAGTCATAAAGGTACGATTTCTTGACAGTGTACAGTGCAGAATTACTAAGAGAACAGAGCGGCTACAATATTCTAATGCTAGCATCACTTGGACCAGCATTATTATTAGCTGACACCATCACCTGCCTGCTGTGACACAACAGGTGCATGTAATTGGTTTAGGGAGATGTTATACAGAGGATCATGCTGCACGCAACAGCAGTGATAAGCAGCTCCCAGTATAGTACTGCTGGGGACAATCCAACATTTTCAGTTTAAAAGAAAAATCCCTTCTGTTCCATTTGTTCGAAGTAGTAAGTACAATGTATCACCTCAGGGAGCTCACGGCTTTTAAACTTATGGTACTCATTACTCAGCACTGCCCTGGGTTGGTCTCTCAATTTCTTTAGACAATTTTGAGGAATGATGCCTGGTGCCAAATGGCTTAAAAACCTTCCAAAATCATTCTTATGCACAAAGCAAAGTCATATGCATGTACATGTAGTAATACCGATTTATTCGGTTTAACTGAATAAGTGACCATGTTTATTTATTGCATGTTCACTGCCACACACAGTAAAAAATCATGTACAATTTCAATACAGTGTGTTGTGACTGATTTTATCCAAAGCACTGCAACATCCATTAGAGGGGGATAACAGATTTTTGAATTGTGTACAATTGTTTGAGATAGTGTACATGTACACCACTGATAAAATCCCAAATCGGACAACTATATTATCCTGAAATATCTAACTTGAAAAAGAAAACATTTCTGCCCAGAATGCTGCAGTTTTCAAGAAAACAAAAATTTTGTTCTCATTTTTTTTATGATGGTCAGCTGATCATTGTATAGGAATTCATTTCACCTCGCACATCACATTCTCTAACCTTCGCAAATTTTCTTGTGTGTAGTGTTTGCAGATGTTGTGGGCGTCAACAGAAATTCACCAAAAGCATTGCAAACTGAAATATGAACCTGAGTGTAAGGTGTAAAGTAGGAAATAAACTGGATAAGTATGACGTAAAATTTTGTTCAAGGAAAGGATTTTCATGTGAAAACTTTGTGAATTCAAAATCACCCCTACAGCATAATGGTATGATCCAAATATGGTGGCTATGGTGTAATATGGTGTTTCCGAGCATCCCTGTGAAAGGGATTTTCGTCAACAAAAAGTACTATTTCCACATGTTAAATATTAAATGAAAATGCCGCGCTGTTTTTAAAAATAATAATAATATTAATATTTATTTGGGCAATTCCAAATACGAAACAAACACAAGACACAGCGGGCTGCCCAGGAGAACATGAAAGTTTAAAAATAAACTGTCATCAAAAGGCATTTGTCTCCCAAGTTTTCACAAAGCAGTTGACTCAAACATGAAACAAGTCAGTAGAGTGTTAGTTGCAGTGAATATGAAAGACTGTAATCAGCCAATATTGTGAAATGACAAAAACGAATGGTGTTCACTACCTTTAAAGCTACATGTATACCGCATGCTTTTATCATTTATTATATTTGACAAAACGGCTGCTCAAGAATTACATACCTGCAAGTGTATAAATTACATGTACATGTACAGAGTACATGTACACCGCAATTTTACTGAAATCTCCGAAATGTTACTTCATTCATGTTAATTCACAAATCTATTTCACGAGTGTGCACACGTATAAGGTCAGCATATCAACTGAAGTATACAAGCTACTAAAATGTACACGAGACACTACACAGACATAAATGTCTCTGGCAACTGGAATGTTGTTGCCTAGTGCCTATAGGTTCTCTGTAGCGAGTTTAATTCAAGATTCCAATTAATGGCAATACTGAGACAATCACATTCATTCCGCATGACATTACAGAACCTCATCTTCCTCTTGGAATGACTCATTAGAACTGTACAAGAACCAATTACATTAAAGCAAACCAAGTGTTTCATCCTTCAAATGCTTTAGATGGAGAGCTAGTTGGAAATGAAAATCCTTTTTCATTTTTGAGTTCAAATGGTTAGTCTTTGGTGATTTCTTTTGAGTTCAATTGATTGTTTCTTGCCTGTTATGCCTGTCCAAGGGTGAGTGTCTTTTGGCTACATTTTGAGAAGATTTTATAACATACCTATTAGAGAAGATGTACATTGCCAAACAAGCAACCGACAGCGACAACAAAAATACACTGTGTTGCTTGCCAGTTCTTTCAATACTGTTTAACATTCGTAAGACTAAATTAACTTTAATATTGTGTTTTACCTTTCCTATGGCAGTGTGCTACTCTCATGAAGATTTAGATGAAGTCAACTGAAAATGGTTGCCTGGTGTTTTTGTCAAACAATTAGGTTTAAAATTGGAA